TAGACTGCTTAACCAAAAGTCTCGAGTTCGTATCCCGGGCTCGAGTTTGTAGGGCGTCCTTGAGTCCACCCAGTTTTAAACGGTACCTGACTCACGTTAGGGAAAAAGGCGGCTGACCACACTATCCCTTTGTATGCCGAGGTCGTTCAACTCTACTTCATCTGCCTCATGCATGTCGGCCACGAACGGGAAAATATGATGATGAATAACATCACGCAGTATGAAAAAAATGACGTCAATTCAAACAGAATTATAATGATTAAAACATGAAAAGCCTAAAACATCTTCCCAACGCTGTTGTGTACCTTCAAGGAAGTTGGAAATAAGAGAAAAAAATTATTTCGTGTCATGTATTTTTAACCTGGTCCAACTATGAAGTCATCTGGTTTGTTGCAACCTGGTGGTAAAGTGAATTCAATAGTTGCGTAAGGGGAGAAGTGGGTTTGGTGTGAAGGGGTGAGTGGGGTGAGTGTGGCGCGGAAGACATACGTTTCGCATTACAATGTCTAGCACGCACTGGATAAACCAATCTCAGTACGTAGAGGTAAAGGTCACAAAAGTTTAGGCGGAAGTGGATGAACGCGTGTTAACGACGAAAATCAAATTTTTGTAGGCGGACTGTTATGGACATGGGTGTTTGATAGAAAACAATTTTTGATTTGAAATATCTCAACTTATTTCATGTATCATCAACGATACTTATAATATTATTTTGAAAATCCCAAATGCATTTCAACTCCAGTTATAAGCCCCCCCCCCCCATAAAATCAATGTCGTGTGTATATTCCAGGTTTAATTTTTGCGACTTCCTCTGCCCCTTTAAACTCTCTAAAGGACTCAAAATACCAATTAATTAATTACTTACTGATATTTGAAGTTTGTGTAATGTATAAACAACATGTTTTAAACTGCTGGTCTCTGAACAATTTATGCAATACTTTTGGAGAACTAAAAGAAATTCATAAAACAATTGCTTAAAGCTGAGTACAAAATTCGTAGTGCCTTTCTCAAAACTTTCATTTTAACCCTTTATCTACTGACGGTACTTATAAGTACCACTTTAATTAAGCGCCTGTATTATTTTTAATTTAAGACGAATTTCAAAAATTATTGATGGAATTGATAGTATTATCTCCCTTGAATCACAGGTTGGTGGAGGGAACAATGTTTTTTGAAAATTACGTATGTGCGCCATTTTCAATCTCTACCTGTATCGGTAGTTCACAATCGTTCTGTACATATCGCACATGTGTTCCTGATTTCCCTTTGTTTTACCTTATTCTTCACGTTTTTAACACCGAATATTTTTTATTGGCATCTTCAATAGTCAGGCAAATAAATTTCACTTCTAGTTATACAATTTTCATCAAATTGTCTTTGTAATAGATCGATGTTTACAAGTGGACTTATAAGTACCGTCAGGGCACACGGACATTTTTTTAGGATTTCTTGGAAATTGCTGATTTTCAATTGGAGTGACATAAATATTATTTTGACAATTAATTATCGAAATGTACTTAAAAATATATATTTATGCATTTATAAGAAGGTTAGCATAGGGTTTTCCTCGGAAATGTTGTAATTAATTGCAGATTTCTAGTAGTAAAAGAATAACAAGAATAAATGTGGCAGTTGCAGGCTCGTTTACTAGGTTTAGTATACGTTATTTGTATACCAAAGTCTAGTTCTAGAAGTAAGATTTGTAAGTTATATTTGTTGCAAAAAAACTGTCTTGCATACAATAGCTAGCGTGTACGTAATGTATACATGTATACATGTAGACTAGTAATAGTCCATACATCTGCATGTAGTATAGATCGTTTTGTAATTTTGAATCAGCAAACACAAAACAGTAGGCCGCTACGGCTATCCTAAACACATTTAGCTTACTTCTATTTATGAACTTTGCACTGTAGTGTAGACTTGTCATAACATTCTAGTAGGCTACAATTATACTAGTATTACTACTAGTAGTGTTTTGAATGACTAGGATTTTGTTTTCAAAATATTTGTTTATGCGGCTCATTGTAATGGCTATTGGAAGCCTCCAGCAAAAGCAGGTTCAGTCCGGCAACTGTTGCCACACCAGAAAGACGACAGACAAGAATGTCTCAGGAACTAGAAATGAGGGAGCATGGCATGTCGGCACCTTTTGCTGTGTTTGATGTCTAAGATGTGTTCCGATGGAAAATCCAGTAAAATCGTACTCAAAATATACTTTTGTGCTGTGTTTATGAGTGAAAATTACAAAAAATGATTGTTATAATGATTGCCATGTTATTATTAAATAAGTTGTATCGTTTTTTCCTGTTTTGTAAATTTTTTAATTTTTGGAAAAAATGTCCTACATTCCTGACGGTACTTATAAGTACCAATACATGTTTGGGCCCTTAAAAATTTATGAAACAAAATTTCCTTCGACATATGCTTTAAATGTGCCAAAAGCAATATGATAACACAATGTTTAAGAAAAAATGTCATTCGGAACATAATTCCGTAAATAAAGGGTTAACTAATCGAGCTATAAAGGCGTGTACTTTATTTATCATTTCTACTGCTCTATGTGAAGCCTAGTTCAGTTTGTAATGTTGGACATGATTTATTTTGTCAATACGCTGTTTTAAAAAGAGGCCTGTTATTGTTCTCCTAGATTTTTTAGGCTCATGAATACTGAAATCACAGCCATCATCTCTGTCCTGTGTTTATTATGTGGGCTACGATTCGTGTAGGAACTACAAGAGAACAGTTTGAGGAAGGAAGGAAAGTGTAGCGATTATGGAGAAAACTGGTGTAGATCTGTTTCATCTCATGCTAGGGGCGTGGCTGAAACTGTAAGACATCTGGGGTTCTGTGTGGGGGGTGTAGAGGTAGACTGGTAGATGGTAGGGTTTAAATATAGGTCCTTACCAATGTATGGGATGGTGGTGGTGATGGAAGGGGGGGGGTGTTAAATAGAAGGGAGATAATATATGGGATGTTGGTTATTTATAAAACGGAGAAAATATATGTGATGTTTAGGTCCTTACCAATGTATGGGATGGTGGTGGTGATGGAAGGGGGGGGGGGGGTTAAATAGAAGGGAGAAAGTATATGTGATGTTGGCTATTTATAGGAAGGAGATTATATATAGGGGATGTTGGTTATTTATGGAAGGGAGACAATGTAAGTGATGTTGGTTATTTATAGAAAGGAGATAAAGTATGATATGGTGGTTTATTTATGGTAGTGTGCTAATGTATGGGATGGTAGATATTAACCGCTTTTATTTAGTTCACAATGTTTGTCATTCTGTCTGTCTGTCGTTCTGTCTGTTTGTTGCGAATCTTGGTAAATTGATTTTCATCCACTTCTAATACAGCGACTTCATTCAAACTGTCCAGATATATTCGTCCCCAGAGACAACGCAAGAATATATAATTTGAATCGAATTAGATATTAGTTTAGTCATTGAAACGTAATGTAAACATTACTATATTCGATAAAACAAAGGGAGATAACAGGATTAAATACAAGTATAGGCATGGTCAATCGGTTGATAGGATTGGTCACTAAAATATGTAAGATGTTTCATGAATGACCAATGCTTTTACTAAAATAAAGCAAGTTAAATTTTTTTGGTTTCAGTACATGTAAAATTTTATAGTGAAGGTTTTTTAAACATCTTATATTCTTGGGCTGGCAGTAGTGAGTAGGATGATGCGATTGTTATTAATAAAAGTGTAAAAATATGTTAAAGAATGTGTTAGAAAACTCTGATTGTATGCAACACCAGTTTTATAAAGTTGAAAACGTGAAGAAGACATAAGGTGGAGGAGGGATAGATGTGCGGGATGTGTGTACTAGTGGTTGGTGAGGTGGGGGTGTAAAAGTGTTTGGTGTGAGTGAGGTATGGGTTGGCTAGTCTCATCTTTACATGAATGTAATCATCAGTTCCACCCCCCTTTACCCACCCTACGGATATTGAAAGTCTTTCCCTCGAACATGTCCCACGTCTTGTTTTTTAAGTCGCGAGTAGCCCTCGGGGGAGGGGCGGATAGATGATCAGGTTACATGAACGCATGATGCCATTTTTTTTCTACTGTACGTATACGGGATTTAATATACTACTTTTTCATTGAGAAGTAGGCTAGAAGTGGGGTAGAGCGTGGGGTGGAGTGTGGGGTTGAGTGAGGGAGATTACTTTCATTAAAACGCGTGGTGCTCAATTTCATCTCATCGATTCCAATTCGCCAGTTTCAGCAACATAATGAAGGGGAGCGGATACCGGCACACACTTATGTTATTGTATTGACTGACATTCGTGGTTTTTTGGATTACGTCTATGACTTCTACCACACTGTCTGACTTCTAGGACTCCCCCACCCCCCACACACACATCTCGTCTAAAACTTCCCGTTACCACCCAGTTGCAGACAAGTCGTCCTTGACTCCCCATCTAAGTCGTTCATCAATGAACCCCCCCCCCCCTCCTCCCTTCCACGTCAATGTCTTTTCAGTTACTCTTCGGTGAATCCCCCTCCTCTTCGGTAAGTCGTCAAAGCCCCCCCCCCCTGTCATTCTTTCGAGCCCCCCTCTCCAGTAAGTCGTCAATATCCCCTCGTTCACTCTTCCGTAACTGCCCCCCCCCACCCCCAGATACCCCCCCCCCCCCCTGACCACAAAACGAGAGCGGCGAGATTCCCCGAGATCTGATTGATGTTCTCGTGTGCCGCCGTCAAACGTTCCTGCAGGCGATGTTTTTGGTACGAGATTAGTCTGGCACTGCCTAGCACCGCCACCAGCTCCTCCAGCCCTGGTCGCCACGTCAGGCGGGCCTGGGATTCAAAAAACTCCGCGGTGACATGGATTACCTTGTGGTGTTGTGGTCATAGCACAGGTACTTGTGGTCGTTGGACAGGTGCTTGTGGCCGTAGTACAGGTGCTTTCGTAGTACAGGTGCTTGTGGTCGTTGGACAGGTGCTTGTGGCAGTAAGACAGGTGCTTGTGGTCTTAGGACAGGTGCTTGTGGTCGTTGGACAGGTGCTTGTGGTCGTTGGACAGGTGCTTGTGTATTCTGACGCAGGTTGTGATTTGCCCTGCTATAAGTAGATCTATTCAAGGGATACTTTAGTCCACACCAGGTAAGTTTACCACCAAGTTATATAAAGTATTTTAGATGATTAACTAAGTTAATTTCGTCAAAAGTTACATTTAAAAAAAAATTCTAAAGCAAAGCTGAAGTTTAGTTTTTAATGTGAAAAATTTAAATCCATACTTTCTTTGATTATTCAGACAGAAAAAATTTCAAATTTTAAAGTTGAAATACAAAGTATCCGAACTGGAAAGTATTTATTACGAACAATACAAAATAGTTAGTCTTTTGCGAAGGGATAAAAGTTAAAATTTAAACCGCAATCCAGGTGATTTCTGCGAATCGGAAAGGAAAGATTTTTTTGTGTAATTGTCGTAGTTAAGGATTGAAAGTTAAAATTAGTTTGTTACTTAGATCTAGTTGTTTCCTTTCCGATGCAAAACTATAGGGCCTGATAGTACACGGCTAATCCCAAAAATAGCAACTAATTTAATGAAGTGCTTTCTGCAACAATACAGCATTAATATTTTAGCAAGCCACACGTTTCGACTGTAGCGGATTTTCGTTTCCATGGACGCGGAAAGATAAAAAAAAAAGATAAAATCTGTTCTAGACAAATGTTGCATTTCTGTTAACAGAAAAAAATTGATGCAGCTAATTCATTTAACTTGTTTGTTTACTGTTGATGTTGTTTTTGTTTTTAAATTTTGTACTGGATTGGATTATAGATAAAAGCGAATTTTGTAACCAGGTCATTTATTTCTATCTCATCTCTATGTAGCTGCGACATATACAGTCCTTTTATGGACAATGTCTGTAGATGTTTGTATTTTGCCACACATAAGCCAGATTTAGTGTTGAGTCAGCCAAGTTGAGAACCGAGTTGAAGAATTTAAGATACTCTGAAGCGTCAGAAGAAATGCCAGAGGCAATGTCTGTAGTATTTGTAAACAACATTAAGATTAAGATCGGTTGCTTTTAGATTACTTAAGGCGATCTCCTAAACGAGGCTTTATAACAGGGCAGCTACGTATGCTAAAAAATAACAACAAAAAAACGTGTTTGTATAAATAAAGGATAATCTACTAAAAGTAATTAATTTTGATATATCTTATATTGATACATTTCTTGATGGAAGTTAGTTTGGTTAGGTTTGCTTGTCGTCCCTCCTGGGACATAGGCCGCTGACAAGAGCTTTCCAAACGTCTCTGTCCTGGGCTAGTCTCTCCAACTGTCCCCAGGTGTATCCAATCTTCTTGGTGTCTTCTTCCAGGTCACGTCAACAGGTCTTCCTTGGTCTGCCTCTCCTCCTCCTTCCTTCTTGTTGTAAGGGATGAAAATATTTATTGGATATTTTTTTTAATTTTACCCCGGCTAATCAGGGGTTTGTTTACTAGTTGTTTATAACGTGTGATTTTGATGTATGCTAGGGGATGCACGTAACCGACGTCAAGCATATAATTATAAACCTGACGGCGCGGGTTCGAATACCGGCTGTCTAATTAGATCTTTGGGATGACAGCGCTCACTAGATTGCTACGAAAAATAAAGACGACTGGGCGTATTTGTCGTCGGGAGATCTCTTCATATTCCCTGACCACAGAGATAGAATGTTCAAGCACAAGATAACTAAACTAAACGTCTAGATCTCGATTCCCAGGCTCGAGTCACTCAGCTCTTTTAAGTACCCTACTCGAGTAGGGAACGCTAAAAGCTGGTCATAACCCAGATATATCATCCGATGGAAGCGGTTAGGTTAAAAAAACGTTGGAGTTAATCCGATAAGTCTGTGAACGCAGTATACAATTTACATTAGAGAAAAGTTGTGCAGTTGTTGTTTGAAAAAAAAAGGTATTTCCTATGACCACGAGGAGGCTATGCTTAAACTTACCCCCCCCCCCCCCTCCGTAAATGAAGAGCTACTGTTGCTATCCTTAATCACACTTCAAGTCTTAAAAAAAACACAGTCGTGTCGTAGTGTTAGAGTGTCACACTATTTTCACCCTCTCGTCCCTGCGGGAAAAGCGGGAAACGCGCAAAGTGCGGCTATCGACTATATGGGGGGGGGGGGGGGCACGGTGCTGGTAATCTTGGTAGATTGTGTCGGTCCGTGGAGTGACAATGGTGTAAAACATGACACCGGTTCTCTCCCCTGGGTGGGATCGTGTTTGTGAGGGTGGGGGTGGGGGGTGTGTCCGGTGTTAGTGGTGTCTGATGTTAGTGACTATGGACGTTTGTTAAGACAATAGAGCGTTGAGCGGTTGCTTGTGATGAAGAATTGAGCTGATACTGGTCGATTCTTGTTTTCGGACAATGCTGGGACATTTGATGACAACTGGTGGTTGGGTTTTTCTTTAGTAGCCGGGGATAACGGCATTCTATGGTGTACCATGGTGTAATGGCATACCTTCTTTTGTTAGAGATACTATATGTAAGAGATACTGTATGTAAGAGAAACTGTTTGTAAGAGATATTGTAGGTAAAAGATACTGTTTGTAAGAGATATTGTAGGTAAAATATACTGTTTGTAAGAAATATAGGTAAAAGATACTGTTTGTAAGAGATATTGTAGGTAAAAGATACTGTTTGTAAGAGATATTGTAGGTAAAAGATACTGTTTGTAAGAGATAATTTATGAAGGAGATAATGTACATAGTAAATACTGTAAAGAACAGAAGTTTCTTTTTTGTACCTAACAATCAATAAGTCAGATAAGAGAGAGTTCCCATGATCTTGAATCGAGTCAGGAACCCATTAGAGCTGGGTAGACTCAGGAATGCCTTGCAGACTAAATCCGAATAGGGATCCGATCTCAAGACATTTGAGTTAGCACTCGTGTGCGTTACCACCTGACAACACCGTCACAACTTTAGGGGGCAAGAGATACTGTATTGTGTATGAGATACTGTATTGTATAAGAGATACTGTATTGTGTAAGAGATACTGTATTGTGTAAGAGATACTGTATTGTGTATGAGATACTGTATTGTATAAGAGATACTGTATTGTGTAAGAGATACTGTATTGTGTAAGAGATACTGTATTGTGTAAGTGTAAGAGATACTGTATTGTGTAAGAGATACTGTATTGTGTAAGTGTAAGAGATACTGTATTGTGTAAGAGATACTGTATTGTGTAAGAGATACTGTATTGTGTAAGAGAAAGAGATACTATATTGTGTAAGAGATACTGTATTGTGTAAGAGATACTGTATTGTGTAAGAGATACTGTATTGTGTAAGAGATACTGTATTGTGTGAGAGATACTGTATTGTGTAAGAGAAAGAGATAGTGTATTGTGTAAGAGATACTGTATTGTGTGAGAGATACTGTATTGTGTAAGAGATACTGTATTGTGTAAGAGATACTGTATTGTGTAAGAGATACTGTATTGTGTAAGAGATACTGTATTGTGTAAGAGATATTGTGTTGTGTAAGAGTAAGAGATACTGTATTGTGTAAGATATACTGTATTGCGTAAGAAATATTGTATTGTGTAAGAGATACTGTATTGTGCAAGAGTAAGAGATACTGTATTATGTAAGAGATTCTGTATGGTGTAAAATATACATTTTGATGTAAGGTGTATCATCTGATATAAAACATTTTGAAAAATTTACTCTTACAACTTTCTGTTCTCTATTTCTCTCTCTCTCTCTCTCTCTCTCTCTCTCTCTCTCTCCCATCTCCCATCTCTCTCTCCAAACCTTAACTACTCCCTCACTAGACCTATATCTGAACATCCACGAAGCGCTGCTGCTACCTCTGTTAGAGGCCATGTTATTTTTCTCTGTCCTAAATCATTAAAGCCGCCTAATTGTCACGTGATTCCCGTTCTACGGTACGCGAGACACCGAGCGGCTCTCGAGCCCCATCTGTCGGCAATCAGGTCATTAATTATGGACGAGTCTTATGTGGCTCATTGATTTAGATCAAGGTTTAGAGCAAACAGCTCGAACCCGAGGTTTGTATTGTGGAATACAACACGTTGACATCTAAAGTCGTCCGCGGTGAAGTTTCATCTATAATTAAAATTGTAATTAAAATAAAACGCCATTTACTAAAATTGCGATATTTGAGAATCAAAAAACATTTCGCAATCTTGGTTTTATTTTTTTTTAAATAGCTTATAAAAAATTACAAAACTTTAATCAACTACGAACTGCTTTATTCACTTATTGTGTTTTTTGTTTTGAAGTCATTTAATTATAAATACACTAAAAAACTAAGCACAAGTAACGACCTAGGTATATATATATATATATATATATATATATATATATATATATATATATATATATATATATATATATATATATATATGTATATATATATATATATATATATATATATATATATATATATATATATATATATATATATATATATATGTGTGTGTGTGTGTGTGTGTGTGTGTGTGTATCTGTGTGTGTAAGCACTGACCGGGGGTGGGGGGTGAAATATGAAACACATTCACATACCCAGACTCTCAGTTCATACAATATCTATCGAACAATGAAGATGAACATAAAGATGAAAAGTAAATCCACTGAAAGAAATTGAAACCTTGCTCTCTTTTGACAACACTCATTTAAATCTTTGTTCCAAGAGTTTACCTAAGTCGTAATGTCTGTGAACTAGGTTGGTATTGTGACGATTCGTGTAACTCAATTTCATGAAGAAATAGTTGCCATACAATAGCTGTGACCCGTTTCGTTTTAAATGTTTTTTTTTATAATAACGGCTGAGAATATTTCTTTTCTCATTTTTATTGCATTTAAAGCTTGTTATGTAATTACACCATCGTGTTGATATTTTACTAACACCGTCATGTTGATTTATGTCTAACATCATCGTGTTGGTGTTTTACTGACATCATCGTGTTGATGTTTTACGGGGTCGTCCATAAATGACGTCACACTCGTAGGGGGGGGGTCCGTAATTTTGTGACGGTGTGTGATGAGAAAACGAATTTTAGACGTTATTTCGCGTTTTAGAAAACTGTTTTAATAAATTGTAATAACAATTGATTAAAATACTCTATTTTGAC